CCCGGAAGAGAAGGACGAGTTGATTAATCGCATGCAAATGCTCCGTGACGACACCTCCGAGGAGTTTAATACTTTGTCAGAAAACGCGTCACGGGCTGCTTTACAAAGGTCGGATGATCACTTTAGAAAGGGGATTTCATCACACTTTCGACCGTGTCTCGAGTTGTTCTTCCGCGTTATATACAGAGAATCGATAGTTCGAGATGCTGTAGACGTTAGAAAACCGTTCTTCGCTGTATTATTGTCGAACACAGGATACGTGGACAGCGAAACGCTGACAAATGTTTCGACGTGACAGTAAATACACCTTTGCAGGTAATAATAGACTGTACGGACGTCTACATGACAGTTTCTTCGCGAATGACTTATTGAAAATGAAAACGTTTAGTTGTTGGAGCAACTATTCTTAAAATGAACATTGCTTTCAGGTTGGTATGTTCATCTTACGTAGAGGATGCAGTATAGTGTTTCAAATCTCGTCTTTTATGATTTATTGGCTTCAAGAGGGATCTCCATAGTGGAGAAAGACAGAAATGTTCAAGTTACGAATCATATGTAGAGTTCATTTTACGAATCATTGCTAGTAATAGGTTTATGGTAATTCAAAGCTAAATACTACGATTAATATTGAAATAATTTAACGTAGACAGACTTTGTTAGTCCTTTTCGATTCGTACAAGTGCACAAGAAATGAATTTAGTAAACAGAATGTTAATTAATTATTAATTCTCTATGCACGAAATAATTACTTCTCTAATAGAGAATTAAGACGAAGTTAACTACTAATTCTCTATTCACGAAGTATATAAAAAGGAAAAAGTTAGTAAATTTCAACAAATAAAATCAAGTTCAACTTGAGAAATTATATCAAAATAATAATTTTTCCAAATTGTAGTTACGTTCGAATTCAAGTAACTTGGACTTGTTCTCAAAATTCGCGAAACGACTTCCGCAATTTCGCGCGGCCACAATTGACCCTAAATGCCGTGAAACGAACGAGCAGACACGGACAAAGGGTTAAGTCGTTAGAATTACGGACGTCGCGGGCGCGACGCGACGCGGAACGTCGTTAATTTCAGAATAATCGTCGCGTATCGACGCGCGCGCGGGCCCAGAGAGAAAGCTAGCGCGCTCCAATTTAATATGGAAATCCCGCTACGCCCTATCGAGAAAATCAATTACGTCTAATGAATACAACATGAAGGGTTAAAGGGTTCGGCAGGAATCCTCGCGCACTTTTCCCTCCGACGTTCGAGCAACGTTGACCGGGCGTCGCGGTGACCGGGGACGGAATTTCGAAGTCGTCGAACACGATTTGTCAAGACTTAATGGCAGCGACAGATTTCATCGCGGGACCGATTTTATTAAACCTGTCTGCGCCGTCGGCCAAAGTATCGGCCGCTAGAATATTCGAATCGAATGGAGGGCTGTATGGGGAATTAATTAATACAGAATTAAGTAATCAAATTCCGGCGCCATACAGGCCAGAGAGCTTCTGATCGATTTACGGTAATTTCCGCTTTCGAAACGGAATCTGGACTCCCAGATCCCTCGAAAAAAGGATATAATTTTTCTTTTTTTATTATTGAAGCATTTGATACCTTGTACGAGGTTCGTTTCTGTTGAACAAATGGACAATGTTAGGCTGATACATCAATTTATAGAACTACACTTTAGTTTTCTAAGAAAGTGAAAATATACGTCAAAATTCACTTAATGGGAGATTCTAGAGGCCAAAATAAGACGAAAGTGAAGAATACTAATTTGTTGATGCAGGCTTCGTTAAAAAGTTATTAACGTTTAAAGTTTCGCCTGTACTGAATTTTTATCTCGAAAGTGGGTAGGATTTCAAGGGTATGTCTATTCACCAAAAATTATTGTAATTGAGCCCCGCAACTGAAAATAATTTTTCCAAAACGATTTGAAATTTTTTAATTTTGTCAAAAAATTTCACTCCTTTTCGAATTTTTTTCTCGAAAGTGGATAGGATTTCGAGGATATATCTAATGACCAAAACTAATTGTAATTGACCCCTGCAACTAAAAATAATTTTTTTAGAACGATTTGAAATTTTTTAATTTTGTCAAAAAATTTCACTCCTTTTCGAATTTTTTTCTCTAAAGTGGATAGGATTTCGAGGATATATCTAATGACCAAAACTAATTGTAATTGACCCCTGCAACTAAAAATAATTTTTTTAGAACGATTTGAAATTTTTTTATTTTGTCGAAAAATTTCACTCCTTCTCGAATTTTTTTCTCGAAAGTGGATAGGATTTCGAGGATATATCTAATGACCAAAACTAATTGTAATTGACCCCTGCAACTGAAAATAATTTTGTTTAGAACGATTTGAAATTTTTTTATTTTGTCGAAAATTTCACACCTACTCGAATTTTTTTCTCGAAAGTGTATAGGATTTCGAGGATATATCTAATGACCAAAACTAATTGTAATTGACCCCTGCAACTGAAAATAATTTTTTTTAGAACGATTTGAAATTTTTTTTATTTTGTCGAAAATTTCACACCTACTCGAATTTTTTTCTCGAAAGTGCGTAGGATTTCGGGGGTATGTCTATTCACAAAAAATGATTGTAATTGACCTGTGCAACTAAAAATAATTTTTCCATGAATGATTTGAAATTTTTATAATTTAATTTTTTCTATTAAATTACAAATTTTATCCTTGTCAATTTCAAAATTTCGAACGGCACGAACTTAACTTATGGGACGACCTAATATTTTGAAGCATTTGCTACACTATCGAAAAGCTACTGCTTCTATTATCAATTTATAGACTACACTTTAAATTCAGTTTTCTAAGAAAGTGAAAATACAAACTCATATATTTGACTGAGCAATTATAAATTCCATATTTGAAGGAAGTAAAAATTTCTATCAATTTACTTGTTTCTTTTTATTTTATAATATTTTCTACGTTATCGAAATGCTTCTATTATTAATGAACAGTAATAATAACGTCTGAAACACGAAACTAAATAAACATACCTAGAACTGTTTTATATAATTTCCTATGGAAGACCATTTGTATTGTCATCAAATAATAATGTTTGAAATATAGAACTCGAAATAAAATTTTTCTGTTTCCGTGGTCTCGACGAAGACGAACGTTTCAGACAGTACTATTAAGACGCTTTAATAATGAAAAACGAAAAAGGGAATTTCGGGTTTAACGAGCAACGCTTTGTTCAGCACGCAGAGAGCATAATATAATTATCGCGAGTTGTCAATTGAGACTGAGAGGAGCGTAAAAAAGGATTCAATGCGATATTTTAACCAGAAGCTAACGAGCTGGCTTGATTCCGGGTACGCTCGTAGACTGCAAGTAGACGGTAGTTAAGGCACTTCGCGCGTTACGACTTATTCTATTATGGGCACGTCTAATGAATACAACATGAAGGGTTTAAAGGGTTCGACAAAAATCACCGCGTCGGTTCCGCCCCATCAAAAACCCGAGTAACCGAATTCGCGGTCGAGTGGCCCGAAGGAATATGATTTCGAGTTCAAAACGCAAACAGCAGAGGATTGCATTAAGAAACGTCGCGCACCGTCAATTAAACGCCATGAAGGGACGAAGCTCATTCACGAAACGAAGGGATGACAGACAGAAACGGCAGGAATCATTTGAATAAACATCTCGAATCAATTATAAATAAAAATGTATCGTTTTTTGGTTTAATTCTATTCGAATTAAATTGTAATTTAATTGATTGTAAAATTGGATAAACGTAACAAAATTTTGATCATCAGTCACGTTTCAGACTTCTTTAAATTTTTGATAAATTAGAATCTTAAAATCAGGGCATTATATAAATAATATAAAATATAAGAGAAGAAATGAAAGAGAACAGAACTTTGTCTGAAATTAACTTATGCTCTAGGAAAATAAAATACAGAGATACATTAAATATTGCCCTACTTTTGAAATGTATAAACATTAGAAGAAACCTAAATTTAATAAACTAAATGTAATTGAATAAAGAATGCATTATAAATAATATAAAATATAATAGAAGAAATGAAAGAGAACAGAACTTTCTCTGAAATTAACATATGCTCTAGAAAAATAAAATACAGAGATACATTAAATATTGTCCTTTTTTTAAAATATACAAACAATAGAAGAAACTTGAATTTAATAAACTGAATGAAATTGAATAAAGAATGCAAGTCTAATTTTGATGAACTTAACAAAGAAAAGGCTTTTTAATTTTAAGATCTTATTAAGGGAATTTTGTTTGTCTCCTCAATAAGATTCTATTTTCTTTCGAGAACTCGAGGACTCTCAAGGAAGTGATGGAGAAACATTGTTCTAGACTTCTATGCAATAGTCTGAGAATTATTTGGCTATCAACTATTAGTCGAAGTATTGTTGATGTAAGCCTGTGAAATTACTCTAAGCTTCTATGCATCGAATATTGTCTGAGGCTTTCGGGAGTAAACTATGTCCATTTGGTTGTTTGCTTGGGGTGCTAGCATTGCACCTAGATTCAACAAGGATTTGGGGGTGTATTAATACCGTATTCGTTCGCCAGAAATGCTCTGCATCCACCCTGAAACGTAAAACAATTCTAACTACAAGAATTTAATTTCTATTTACACTCAGACTTTTCATTTGAACTGAAAATAGTAACATAAAATACTATTTAAAATTTGTATTCCCTGCATTATTATTTAGTAATAAATTTCGTTTAGAATTCTGACGCTTGTCATAATTTTTTCACCTCTGTACACTCTATACAAAAAGAAAGTCACTTTAGCAGACGATTCTCTGCTCGTATCAAACGCGATCTGCACCCCCGATTTGTTCAATCGAAATTCCCTGTCGTCTCCATTTTATTTGCACGAAAGAAGTGAATTCGTAGACGGTCTGTAGCAAGCACGAAACACTTACGGATTCGGTCACCGTGCGTAAACACGGACTGAGCAAACAATATCCGGACGAAACGACCGCTGGAAAAATAAAAAACCGACTTACCTTCGCAGGGTCAGACTTCTCCGGCTCGTCGTTGAAGGTCTGCGACCCTCTGGAGGTGGTGTTCCTACGGGGTGTGGTGGTGCCATCCTGCGAGGGGCGCACGAACTCGATTCTGCCACCCTCGACGACGATGTTAGGGGCTGGTGGGAAATTCTCCGCGTTACCGACTGGATCGCAGTATCCCAACAACCCTGCTTTCTCGCCGTACAAGGGATGAATTTGTCTGCAACAGTCGGTAAAGAGACGTTATTGTTATCCGGGGGTTGAAACTCCAGGTGGAGGTTCCATCGAAAACCACCATAAGAAACTGGAGGGAATTTCCAATCTTTCTTTTTGCACTTTGTTAACGATTAGGGGTTCGAAAACCTCAAAATAATAAAATTTAAAGAACTCAGGGGCTAAAATTTAAAGTACAGGGGCTGATCTTAAATTTTTAAAGAAGCAGTTAATTGATTCGAAATTTTGGTGACACATAAAATGTAAAAGTAGTTTCAGTTTCGTTGGAGAAATAATATTTTTTGGCTATTTAGGAAAGATTTTTGGGCACAATTTCTTGCAATATTTATAGGTACATCCACTTGTATTCATACAGTATATAATAGTGATTTATTATAGATGGGAATAAATTTGTTTCTTATGAATTGAAATATTTTTAAAATTAGTACGAGTCCATTTGTTTATGTATTAAGATATTTGAGGGTTTATATTATTATATCTCTCTATCGATTTTGTAATTGAGAATTGCACATTACTATTAAAAAGAAAATTAGTTTGTGAATAGAAGTAACATAGTACAATAAACAGCATTTGTAAAAATAAATGGAAAGAATTCATAAGAAACAAAACTACGTAAATGAAAATAGCACAGTGTAATAAACAATATTTAATAAAAATAAGTGGAAAGAATTCATAAGAAACAAAACTACATAAATAAAAATAGCACAGTTTAACGAACAATATTTATTAAAAATAAATGAAAAGAAGACAGTAAATAGAAGTAACACAAAATTACCTCACAAATTGAAATATCATAATAAACAACATTAAACAAAAATAAATGAAACGGGGGTTAACAAAATCTTAAATCTTTAAAAAAGTATCTAATCGACTAGACATTTTGTTTACAGATAAAATGAACTATAAGCCCTTTTTTACAGTGCAGAAATAAAGTGTGAAACTTGTAATGCCTGTTTAAGTGGTGAAGCAACTTTTTTTACAGTTGTTTTCGTAGTGACGTATGGTTCCCCGACAGTATATATTTTTCTATTATCCTAGCTACATGATATTACTTTTAGTTTTTCCCACGTGTCCACCAATGGACACGTCGCCTTTCAGACGTGAAATGAAATATGAAATATCCACCAGTGAACGCGCGGGGCTCGATGCGTTAAATCATTTCCAGCGTCGAATGATGAATGAAACTCATCTATTATTTCTCCCCCGGAATACAAAACTCGACTGAATTACGTGTACATTTTTTTGTACTATCTGTTGACATATGCATCATGTTATACTCGCATCATATAATTTCTTTAAAAGTCTAATTTGTTTCGAAAGTATTAAAAGCTGCAAATTATCTTTTATAGAGAACTGCAATTTATATTAAAACGCAACTTATCGTTGGAAAATTTTGTATAAACTCATTCACAGTGATATTGACGCGCGTTGGAGAATTGTTTTTATTATAATAAAAATTTTCAAGAACGCCAACGAACAGAAAAACAGCTTCTGACTGGTAAATGCATCGATGAAACTTGTTGCAACAAAAACTAGGTTAAAAAAACGTTTCACACGGTGCTTCACGACGGAAATACGTACTTCAACGACTATAATCACTTTACCTTCGAAATTCGAACAATAAATTTCATTCATGGAACAACAGATTCATTAATGTTCAGTTTAAGTATTCAGTAATTCATGAACATATTAAAACGAACATTATTCAAAGAAAATAACATTATTTAACGAAAAATCTTCTACTATATCCAATTATCGAGTACAATATTAAAAGATTCATTTCTAATAATTTAAATTGATAAAAAATTGTTAAAATCTGGCACGAAATATTTCCACTCGCTCGATGCTTAGCTCGATGAAAGAAGTAGAAAAATATGATACCCGGAAGTAAGTTCAGCGCGTGACTCTGAATAAATAAATAAAATTGAAGACACATGGCCCGAGGTATTCATTAAATTACAACGAAGGCGTCGCGATGTGGTCGAAACGAATTTAAATCGACGGTGTCCGATGAAGTAAAAACGACGCCAGGGAAATTGCATTACCGGCAGTTAAATTTACGCGACAGACACCCGGCCATTAGGATTAAAAAGAGAGCCCTCGATCCACGCTTTTTGCTCGTTTTTCTAACGCGAACGCGACAGAGGAAAAATTCCATAACTTTGACGCAGTTAGGCGAAGCTGGGAAATTGCGTTTAACAGCTAATCTCTTTTCCCTGGCGAATTAATACCCTTTTTATCCAAACAAAAACATTCTGAACACTTAAAACGCTTGATATTAAAATGTTGCTAAATGTTATGAAACCTATCGTCTCGATATGTGTTATTTAATTCGATATCTGCCTCTTGATCAATCAGTTGCAAGAAATTTGATAAACTATTCTTAAGATTTTGATAATCCTACAGATTTCAACGTTCTTTCTATTTTTGTTTAATTTTCAGTTGGAATAAGAACTATCGAGCATAATTTATTATGAAATTTTAATGTATTGCTGGGCAAATTTGTGTACATGTTTAGCTCGATACAATTTTGTAACAAGCTAATTTATCATTAACTGTTAATCAAGTTACAAATCATATGTGGAGTTCATTTTACAAATCATTACGGTATAAATCTATTTACGATTAATATTAAAATAATTTGGTAAACAGAATGTTATTTATTTTAATCAAATATTGAGAGAATTAATTCTCTATTCACGAAGTATATAAAATGGAAAAACGTTCTTCAAAAATCAAGCTCGACTTGAACAATTAAGTAGCATAATAACTAATTTATCATTAACATAACCACCAGTAATATTTTTAATTTAGTACAGTTTGTATAATCTACACTAGAAATCAGAATTAAACTAACTCCATCCTTCTAGTTACGTAACAAGTGTCTCGTACCATAATTCGAGTATTAAAATTGAAACACCAACAGTGGTAAACTAAATACGTTGCTTATTAAACTTGCACATTAATTTTCAAATTCCTCGATCTAGTAATAAAAATTAATAAATTCATCCAGCTAAATGAAGCTGAAAATGAAATGGCTGTTCGAAATAATCATTGGAACCATTTGACAAACAAACGTATCGAATACATCAGTAGCGTTTCAGTCTTTGGGATACACATTCTCCAGAATGCATTTCAAATTTATTTTTACAATTTTAGTGAACTTTTACGAATACAGTTTTAATTGTACACCTCGTTGGAGAAATATTATAAACAATATAAAACTGGGAGAATAGAAATTTAAATTGTAGTACCGAGATAGAAATTTAAATTCGAGAATGCGATTCAAACTTACAGTAACAAATATTTATACGATTTTGATTCGTTCTAAAGGCTGGTGAAACGAGGAAACGATATTATTCGGGCAATGCATGGACTCTCTGATCCCAAAAGCGATGAATCGCCACACTCGACCAAACTATTCTCCAACTAACTGACCTGCTTGTAGCTCGTTCAAATTGACGAACACAAATAGCGCGGAGGGCACGCAAACGATGCAAGTATGCGGCGGAAACGATCGCGCGAGTATTCGCACGGAGAATTTCGATGGTAATGCTAGCACAACGTTTCACGACTTTGTGTTGCCAAGAATATGGAAACAGGGGTCAGATTTCGTTAAGCAGGGAAAATGAATTGGCCGCGAAGCGATTTGCTACCGTGACGCGACCTACGCGAAACCGAGTTTCTGGGAAATGGCTCGTTACCTCGACGTAAACAATTTCAACCACGCTCCGTGTGATAACCGAAGGGGTCGACGAACAACAGCTAACTGAAAGGACCATCGATGCTACAGGTTATCATATACCTGCCAACTCAAAGTCACAAATGTTTACGAATCGACACGCTACGCGGAACCTTGCCTAAATTATTTCTATTCTATCGCGGGCGTGTATTTTCAGAGAGAATATTTTTCTACGTGGTTCGTCATGATGATTGCATTGAAAACTGTGAAATTTTTAGTATTTTTCTCTGTTTTTAGAATGAGTAGGGAATATTTTAAGGTGTCAATTTAAGGCATAGTTTATTTTTATATTTAAACTGAGTGAAATCTAACATTTTAATAATAAGCAAGTTATTTAAGTTTCATTTGGGAAAATAATATTTTTTGACTATTTAGGAAATGTTTTTGGGCACAATTTCTTACAATATTTATAGTTACACTTGGTTCGTGTTACGTTAATTATATTAAAAATTGTGTGTAGTATTTTTCTTTGTTTTTAGAATGAGTCGAGAATATTTTAAGGTTTCAATTTAAAGCATAGTTTATTTTTATATTTAAACTGAGAGAAATTTGACATTTTAATAAGAAGCAAGTTGTTTAAGTTTCATTTGGGAAAATAATATTTTTTGGTTATTTAGGAAAGATTTTTGGGCACAATTTCTTACAATATTTATAGTTACATCCACTTGGTTCGTGTTATGTTAATTATATTAAAAACTGTGTCTAGTATTTTTCATTGTTTTTAGAATGAGTGGAGAATATTTTAAAGTGTAAAGTTAAGGCATAATTTAACTATTTTTATTTTTAAAATGAGAGCAATCAGACATTTTAATAACAAGCAAGTAGTTTCAATTTCATTAGGAAAATAATATTTTTTAGCACAATTTCTTGCAATATTGATAGTTACATCTACTTATATTCATACAGTATAATAGTCATTCATTAAAAAAGGAAATAAATTTGTGCTTTTTATGAACTGAAATGTTTTTAAAACTGGTATGAGTTGTTTATATATTGAGATAGTTAAGGATTTATATTATTACACCTCTCTATCGATTTTGTAATTGGGAATTAATGCCCATTGATAATAAAAAGAAAACTAGTTAGTGAATGAAAGTAACATAGTGTAATAAACCACACTTGTAAATAAAAATGGAAAGAATTCATGAGAAACAAAATTAGATAAATAAAAATAGCACAGTACAACAAACAATATTAAGTAAATATAAATGGAAAGAATTTATGAGAAACAAAACTACGTAAATAGAAGGAACACAAAATTACTGCACAAATTAAAATAGCACAGTATAACAAGCAACATTTAATAAAAACGAATGGAAAGAATTCATAAGAAAATCAAGTTTCTTTCCATTTATAATAAATCACCATTCTACGAATACGAGTGAAAGTATAACTGTTTGTATTAAATGGTAAGAATACATGAGAAACAAATTTACATAAATAGAACAACATTTAATAAAAATAAATGGAAAGAATTCATAAGAAAATCAAGTTTCTTTCCATTTATACCGAATCACCATTATAGTGTACGAATACAAGTGACAGTAAATGGGAGTGCACAGAGAGAACACTAGTACACAATACGTTTAATTAACTAAGTGACCTTCTACATGCAATCTCATGGCTTTAGTAAGCACGACAAACTGAAATATTAATAAAATGATTGAAAATCCAATTTGATTTCAGCAATCAGACAATAGACTGAATAGAAGTACTATTCTTCAATAATATCAATAATATTCAACAATATTTAATAGCTCGAGAAACTGAAATATTAATAAAATGATTGAAAATCCGATTTGATTTCAGCAATCAGACAATAGACTGAATAGAAGTACTATTCTTCAATAATATCAATAATATTCAACAATATTTAATAGCTCGAGAAACTGAAATATTAATAAAATGATTGAAAATCCGATTTGATTTCAGCAATCAGACAATAGACTGAATAGAAGTACTATTCTTCAATAATATCAATAATATTCAACAATATTTAATAGCTCGAGAAACTGAAATATTAATAAAATGATTGAAAATCCGATTTGATTTCAGCAATCAGACAATAGACTGAATAGAAGTACTATTCTTCAATAATATCAATAATATTCAACAATATTTAATAGCTCGAGAAACTGAAATATTAATAAAATGATTGAAAATCCGATTTGATTTTAGCAATCAGATAATAGACTGAATATAAAAATTACCATTCTTCAATAATATTTAATAAAGCCTCGCCTGGATAAGCCTTTGTACGTCGAGTCGAATTTTTCGAAAAATTTCTCGACGTTCGTTACTTTTGAAGCAAAACCGTGTATTATGACATCGTCGGTTGCGTTTCGATTGCCTTTTAAAAACTATCGGCGTTCGAATTGCAGTGCACTTTGCCTGTCAGAATGTTCAGCGCCCGGGATGGAAATATTTTTTTCCCCTCCGACTGCTCGACAGACAATGGCGGAACGCGCGAGAGAGCGAAAGATAAAGGAAAACGCGCCGGATACTCGATAGCGAGTGGCTTTACCTAGGGATCCCCCGATGGGGTTGAATCTCGACAGGTGGCGAGTCTGAGTTCACGGGGGTTCAGTTCGTCGCCGAGGGGAGGGAGGGCTCGAAATATACCACGTGTCGACGAGGAAATAAAATAGGCGTTTGAGTGTGCACGGCGAATGGTTATTGTGTTGCCAGGCTTATCGAACGTCAAGACTCCATCGAGGGGTGAATCTCGTCAGGTAGGGTGAAACGCACCAGGCTCGGGTAAAAATAGAACTTCCTGAGCGTGTCGCGAGAAGTACGGTTTATTAACACTTCGAACGCGAATAGGGAGACGTTTCAAAAAAGAACGTCGAGGAGACTAGCGCTGCGAACAAATAATTGAATCCCTGCAAGTTTTCAAACCAATTTTATGTACCTGAAAATACTAACGATGGAAACGGCCTTATATAGTATTATTTAGCAATAATTTAAATTTATATTTCAACGTATGGACTCTTAAAATCGTTGAAAGTACTTGATTTATTTTCTTTTTTTTGTGTTTGTAAATTTATGTTTTGAGTCTATTTTATAGAATAAAATATAAGATTCTCAAGTTACGTAAACTCGTTTGTGAATTTTATAGAATTTTATTTTATTATTTATTCTATAAAATAGATTAAAAAAGAAAGAATATAAATCTATTAAGTACTCTCAACGATTTTAAGAATTGATACGCTGAAATTGGGTCCTGAATTTTTATATTTTAGGAGAACACACACCCCTATATTAATTATTAGACTAGGATCTTTATGCAAATTCATATTTGTATTAATAGAATTAATGAAGTAGATTTCTTATATTTTTGCATATTAAGTGCATTCTGTTTGAGAATTAAAATTCCCTAGAAATGCAAAAACATCCAGTCTATTTATTATACTAAAATCTCGACTCTCCATACTCTTAACACTAGAAAAAACTGGTAAAAATGACCCATTCGTAATTTCTAATAAAAATTGATAAAAATTTACTTGACTGGGTTTTTGCAAATTTTATCGTGATTTTCTATAGGAGAACGAACAAACATTTATCTCGATTGCATTACAATTTCTTCGATTATCTATCGTTTTAACTTCTTTGGTAGAAATAAATACTTCTCAGTTCTGGTGTTAATAGTCACTGATATATTAAACTTCACGAACGAATTTGCATAACTTGTGAATCTTATATTTCGATATTAATTTGTAACGATAACTTTATATTGTTTTACCGTTTCAATTAGTACGTATCATCGAGATTGAGCCGCGTCCTTGGAATATGGGTCGAAGCCCTTCAGAGGATGAAAAGCCTCGGCCGTGAGGAGTAAGTCCTTCGATACCTTCCCGCCAAGTTTTCCAATTAACCGGAGTTTATTACACGCGAGATTGGGGTCGAGATTTTTTCCATTCGGCCATAAAGGTGAGAAAGGGTTAGACGCAACGAAGAGGCTTACCTGGGCGATGGTATGGGGCGAGGCTTATCGAGCGCCAGATCCGAGTTGAGGGGCGAATCAGGTCCGCGGACGCTGGAAGCCCTGCAACAAACAGATATATCGTTAGTTTAATTAGTATTCGGAAGCCAATACCCTAATTCGACCTGTCTCACGTTTGCCTCCCTCCTTCCACAGTTAAAACATTTCTATACAATTTCGCTTCTTCCCTCTGCTTCCATGACAAATGAACACTTCTTTTTAAAGATGACATAAGTCCAATTGTAGCTAAAAAATTTATTTTATTAACTACTATTAGATACAAAAATTTAATTTTATAGTTTTAAAAACATTACTCGAATTTATTAAGACTTGACAGTATTTTTAAGTCGACTCGAAAATAAGGGATGAAATAAACGATTATCTTTTCTTTATCATTTCTATACAATTTCACCTCTTCCATCTGCTTCCATGACAAATGGACACTTTTTAAAAAAATAATATAAGTTGATTGGTAGCTAAAAAATTGAGTTTATTAATTACTATTACATACAGAAATTTAATTTTATAGTTTTAAAACCATTACTTGAATTTATTAAGGTTTGCCAGTATTTTTAAGTCGACTCGAAAATAGGGGATAAAAATAAACGATTATCATTTTTATACAATTTCACCTATTCCTCTGCTTCTATGACAAATGGACGCTTCTTTTTAAGGATGATATCAGTCAAATTGTAGCTAAAAAAATTATTTTATTAGTTACTATTTCATACACAAATTTAATTTTGTAGTTTTAAAAACATTACTCGAATTTATTGAAGTTTGTCAGTATTTTTAAGTCTACTCGAAAATAGGGGTTGAAATAAACGATTATTTTTTCTTTATCATTTCTATACAATTTCACTTCTTCCCTCTGCTTTTATGACAAATGGACACTTTTTAAAAAAATGATATAAGTTGATTAATAGCTAAAAAATTGAGTTTATTAATTACTATTGCATACAAAAATTTAATTTTGTAGTTTTAAAAACATTACTCGAGTTTATTAAGGTTTTTTCCAGTATTTTTAAGTCTACTCTAAAACAGAGGATAAAAGTAAATGATTATCTTCTATATGATAAAAATTTATAGCGAATGTCTTCTAATTTAATTGAACTGTTTATATAATTGTATAAAATGTATTATATTGCACGATGAGATCAATTAAAATATGTACGTATCATGTATGGTACAAAATAAGTTGAAAAATTTAATTATACATATATATGTTCAATATGTGTCTATGTATTATAATAGGCTTTAAATAAGGAACATTATAAAATCGTGAAAGTATATAAAAAGTAACCTTTATCGTCTTTAGTAAAAATATATATTATGATTTTACTGTTGATAATAATTTATATTGTTAATAAAGATGAAGTAAATTGCTATTTTTTCATCGAATCTTTTAATATCTCAATGTATGACAAAATTGAATTATTTGACATTAAAATTTCCTCATTCAAAATCGGATTTAGAATTTATAATTAAATTACAAATCTCGAGACATCAATTCTATTTTGTTCTATGGATATTTCTATATTATACACTACATATTGTTTATTTATAAGCACTGTTTTCTGTTTCAATTGTAAAAATATTTTCTCTTATAACGAATGGACTTTTACTCGTATAATAAATAAATAAAAATAAAAGTGGACTTATATACGATCAGTGTTTTTCGTTAATAATTCAAAAACGAAGTCCCATTCGACATTTTTGCAAAGGAAATTGTTGTTCAGAATCGTCTCAGCTATCCCACATTTCCGGTTCTTACACTATTTACGAGACACCCTGTATACGTATAAGAATTTTTCTAACCCCTTGACGTACGATTTAATTCCAAATAATTTTTTAAACGCATACTATTTAATTTCATTTATTTAATTTATTTATTTTTTATTTGTTCCTTTAAGTTATGGCCACGAAAAAGAATACGTTTGCTTTACGAATGCCTCGTGAACGTGCAAAAGTGTTGATTTTAATATACAAGATTTGACAATAAGTGAGTAGCCCCATCATTATGAAACTTGTACAAGGAGTTAATAAAAAGAAAATTTATTACATCATTCTGAACAAGCTAACATCTATAATCTTTTCTCTAGCAAACTACATATAATAGAAAACATTCAAAACTGTAGGAGATTTGTATTGAATATTTGTACCACGCTATAATTTTGTTGAATGTTAATTTAACAAAGGGTTGACAAAAAAAACAAAATGAGTGGTTGTGAAGAACAGACGTGATTCTTATAGAATATTAATTTCTGTAAAAAGATTGTGTGCTCGGTGTGCTTTAAATTCGTTTATATAATTATATCATTTATACATTTGTTGTAAATACAATTCTCACTTTCTTAAATCCTATTGCTGAGAATAAGCGTTGCATGCATGTATTTTTAATGAAAATTTTTATCCATTGGTGCAGCCACCTCCCTTGCAAAGGTCAGTACTATCTGAGGACAACACTCGTTTATTGCACCCCAAAACTACATTAATTAAATGCAAACTTAGGTCGAAACTGTGGTACTGGTTGTCATAAATATGAAGTGAGTGATATTTTGTATGAGAGATGAGTGTGACACGAGTGAATGGTCTAAATAGTTTGTATACTTTATGATTGAAGAGTGAACGAAAGAGCGACGTGTGTGAAATTGGTCACTTGTAAGCGAGCATTGAGAGTGAGAAGACGTGTGAGGCAAATCATTGTTATTGTATCGATTTCTTGTAAAATAGTTTTTACCAACGTTATACAATTATAATAAATACGTTCTAAATATCCACCTACAGAAACTCTGTCGTATTCATTTAGCAAATAAATATTCAACACCTGCAAAACGTAAAAACGTAAAAAGTTATTAATTATATCTTACCTACAAGAATTTAATTCCACTGTAAGGAATCCACCAAATCATCAGTATAATCCGTGAGAAATCCAAGTTTAACGTTACATAACATTTAAAACCGTCCTCCCGGGGGTTATGGCCGGCCCGATATTTCAAAGTGCACCGATATAAATTCAAAGTGGTCTCGAGTTATCGGATCTCGAAGTACAATCGCGTTACGGAAAATAAAACGTCTCCGATCGGGTCGTAAATTGCACGGCGGTTCGGAATTATTGGAAAATGAATATACGCGGCGGCTGTTAACCCTTTCGATATAATATAACGACGTCGCTTTCCAGTTCCGCGCGTCCGAAGAGGCCCCCGGGGGTCGAGGATCGTCCACCGAATTACATCTGGCGCTTACGCAACAAACCGTGAACGTTGCTTTTACGAATCGACCGGTGAACGATCGCGGATGTTAATGCAAAAATTCATTTGCACCGGCCGCACCTCGAGCGAATCTATTTTCGTTGCTCGACCGCGGCTCTTGTCGCCTGCATATCGAAAAGACGACGTCGGGAATAAACCGCGCGCGATTATGCAACCGCCGATTCGGATCCGCGTTTCTCACCGTGTTACGAGGCAATATTTATATTAAGCGCGACGCGGCGATATCGAACGCACCGTAACTCAGTTTCTGGCGCCCGCGCGACCGACAGAAATTAATAAGTTCGACGGATAAACGCGACGGAATCGCGGACACGCTTTTACGCGAAATCGTAGAATCGACGCCTTTTCGTTCCACGCGGATACCTTCGACACCTCGATCGACGAAATCACCGCGATAAACGTTGGGAAAAAATTCGATACCGAGAGGCCGGTTCGGGTTTAACGTCGGAATTATGTAAAGATATTATTTCGAACGGCGGGAAAAAATTTCACGGAAAAACGTGTTTCGAGTGTGTTTGTGCACCGTCTGTTCGCGAGAAGTGGACTGTACGATAGGGTGAACCTTATTTTTCGATTTTTTTTTTTGGGATATTAGATGAAAAAATAACCTACGCAAAATCTGAAATTGATCGAACAATGGGAAAACGTGGCATTTTTCTTCATTAAAGTGTATTGGCTATTATACATTTTAGCACCTCTTTGAATTCGTCTTTTTACGCTTTATGAGGATATGGGAAAGAAAATTTTGAATTTGTTGTTTTTTATAAGTCGCGATTCTGAAATTTCAACAATTTATTGGGGGAACAAAAATATACTTTTTCGCATTATATTTACTTCGTTGAATGATACAAGTTTGTAAACACTTTTTTCTATATTTATAAATAATAAAGATATTTAAATATTTCTATTTCAATCGTAAAATATAGAATCGATGCAAGGGAGTATACCGTACAAAATGAATAAAACTAATTGTTAGAAAGGAATATGCAGTGAAATCTGACAACTGGAAATGGTGCTACATCTAATTTGAAAATTTGTTATCCTTGTAATTCGTTTTCTTTTCGTTTTAATTCAATTTATATAGTTGTTTTTTTTTCTGTAATTTTGTAACAGCACCGACTGCATAGTCTTTGGCTAATTTATATAGTTTTGTATATCGCTGAATTCATCCTTCGTTCTCTATAATAATATAAAAAAAAAAATTATGAGTTTGAAATTTCAAAGATTGACCTTAAAAAAAACCTTTTTTCAGACTACATTTGCTTCATCAATTATAAATAAGGTCTACTATAATGTTCATGTACTGTTTAATCACAAGAAATAAACTTTAAAATTTTGTTTCTTCTTTTTTAAATTCAAGGTGTGTAGGTTATCTCGTAATAGTGATAATACTATTTTATAGAATATAATTAAGTGCTTGGATAGGCGTTAGAACAATCTTACGATTATTTCGTACAAAGAGGCTGCTATCTTTCACCGACAAACGCATTCATGCGACGCTGACACTTTCCAACGCCATGATTAATGCGTGGTTCGGGGTAATTTGGACACAGGCTAAGAAGTTTAACCTGATTGACTGACACTCGAAGCTACAGTTTCGCTATCTCATCCCTAATCCGCCTGAAACTCTACTCGACGCCGAGAGAAATTACGCTGGTAATTACTCCTGTGTTTTGCAAGCGACCCGTGGGCTCTCTTAATCCACGGACCACAATTAATCACTATTGCACAAGTTTGGTTGAGGCGTTTGTTGAGAAAAATATCTAACGAAAGAGTTACAAAAACTGTGGA